TGTGCCCTCGGGAATAGGCTCACCAAGGGGTGAGAGCCTCCTCGGGAGCGGTGCCGGTGGGGTGTCCCCGGCCTGTGGTAGCGTGGTGGGGCGCCCACGTACAAAGCGTCTGCCATAGCGCCGGCCCTGACACGGTGCGGCACCCGAGCTCGGCGGGGGGCGGGTGATGTGTCCAGCGCCTTTCAGCCTGAGGTGAATGCTGGCGAAGTAGTTAAAGGCTCTTCGAAGGAGAGAAGTTTGTGTGAAATAATCACACAACGCCAGTTACATGTCGGTTTTTCTCCCTTAAAGGGTCTGTGGCGTGCCAGCTGTCAAGAGTAGAGCTGCACTGGAGACGGTAAACGCTGCTGAGCTGCTAACGGCAAGTGCCAGCCACAGCCTGTGTAGTGAACAGTGCCGTCGTTGCGTGTGGTAGCGCTTGGATTCAGGCCGTTCTGTTTCTGGGCTTTGTGTTGTCAGGCCTTGGGTGAACCGATGTTGTCCGTGTGCCCACAGTTCGTCCAGAGCAACGGTGCAGGTTGCTGTGAAAAGTCACCTTCCGTCACAGCAAAGGGCAGATTGGGCCCCTGTGCTGCTATTTTAAGTGCATTAGGGTAAGTTTAAGGTCTAGTGTACTTCTGAGCCTGCATTTAATGCAATTTTGGAATGAAATGTTTTCATTTTGAAAAATGTAACGGGGTAGGTTCTGCCTTGAACAGTTAGGTGATGCAAAAAGCCATCTAAATGTAGACTGCTTAAAAATCAATGATTGATGTGTGGCTGCAGCAGATTCGTGACATTTTCGTCCTCTTTGTTATGAGAATAACGTCGAAGTCACTGTAGCAGTATGGATCAGAGAAGAAATGGAACTTAAATATTGTGAGCAGTCATGGCTATTTGAGTTCTATAGCCGTTTGTTCTGACCTGCTATTCTTTATTGCTAGTCTACATACAGCTACTGTATTTTCCGACTTCTCAATTTGCTGTTGCATACTTTTGTCTTCCCGTGCTTTTGAGAAGCCTTCTTCCTGAATCAGTGCAGTGATCTGTACTCTGAAACATGAAACTCTTTATCCAGACAAAAGCAGGTTATCTGAGGACATTAGATGAGTTCTGCTATAGTGTATTCAGAAGCTAAATTGTGCGTAACTACATTTGAAATATTAATAGTTGTGATGATGGGTTTGTGAAACAGTAAAAAGCAGAGTATTACAAAGATACAGATCTACAGGGCTACTAAATGACTTGGGCAAAATAACTTGAGGCTATTACATAGGAAGGACAGATTCCTCTTCTGAGTGTTTGTCTCTTTTATATAGGCTTGGGCAGCTGTAGGGGTGAATTGAGTTGTCTTGCAGATGAAACTGAAAATTCATATTTCGTTTGCGGAACTGGTCTCCATGTCAACTGATAACCAGTGAACAAAGGGTTGATAGATTGTTAGAGCAGGAGGCTTTAGGTATCATGTAGCTAGCAAAAGAACAGAGGGAAGACAGCATTGCTTCTGAAGGTGGCACTGTCTTAGATTAGTTTAAAAAGGTAGTAATCGACAGAAAAGTGGGTATTTGTGTATGACTTAAACCTGCAATATCCTTTTAAGTATAAGGCTATTGGCTACAGGCGTATGTCCTTACTTAAGGGAAAACTTAATCCTAGTAGGGAGAGAGTTAAAACATTGAGAACTCGATTTCTACTAGTTTCTGAACAATCTGATACAATTCTTAAGTAAGCCTTGCTTTGAGCAGGGGTTGGACCAAAAGAGCTGTAAAAATCCCTTCTGACCTAAATTGTGCCATGAATTTCTTAAGTGGCTGCAACTTAACTGTTACTCTGAAGATGAATACATTCGCTCGTGGTTCATAGGAAACTATGTTGAAGTTTGCTCACAGATTGTTCTTGTAAGTTTAACTTGTTTGGTCGAGTAGTGGAAGCCTTGTTACCAATTAACAGAGAATTTTCTTTAATTTCTTGAATTCGCATTGATTTTTAGGGCAAACTGAAACATGACTGATACAGATGAATCCCATGCTTCTGACTCTGATTACCCTGATGCCCAAGAGCTAATATGCAGTCAAGAACTGTATAAGGTGCATGAATGTGAAACAAATAACCGAACGGAGCAGAAGAATGCTGCTCCTGAAGAGTCTTCAGATGAGCTTAATGGTGTATGTAAGTCATCAGGTGCTTCAGCTGAGGTTGTACTGGACAGCAGTGATTCAGAAATGTGAGTTTTTGGTTTTAGTTCATGTGCAGAACCTGTGTGATACATCATAAAAGTATACATTCTTTTGAAAGTAAATATTGTTTCTTTTTTATCCATCTCTCTGCTGCTAGTGGCAGTGAACACTATCCCAAGTGCTCCAGTGCACCTTCAAAGCAGAAAAAACGATCTCGACCTTCAAGGCAACAAGCAGAATCTGTTGCAGAAGTGCCTGACAATGAAAGTTCAGACTCTTCTCTGTCTCCTCCAAGTCCAGTGAAATCACCAGAAACTTCCAAAAAACAGAAGTCAAAACTCAATCTGAAAGCCATTTTCGCCTACCACTTCAGAGGAAGGAAGTTTAAGGCTGCTGCACACCGAAAATACAGAGGTGGCTCAGGGAGGAAGAAGAAGAAGAAGTATCAGAGCACACAGATGCCCACGGGGAGGCCACCGCTGACAGCCTCACCACAAGAGCGAAAGAGAAGGCTTCTAGATAGAGGTTTTCAATTCCCTTTTGTTGAAAAACATTATGGGAAGAAAGACATTCCCTTAAAGATGGTTCTTGGCTATGAGGTGAGTCCTCTGTTATGTGGGATAAATGTCTTATTTTTGTATCTAGTCTAAAAACAATGAACTTGAATAGGGTATGTTTTTGCTTCTACTAGATATGCTACAGTGTAACCCATCTGTTTTTATTTTGGTTAAACAGGACAGTTGGTGTTGTCTGTTAATACCAACACAGCTAAAGTGTGTGTCAATTTAATATTACGATTTAGTTGATAATAGAAATGCCTTATTTCTTTATAGTGACATTTTTAAGATCTCATCTGATGCATTTTTCTTTAGCAAGCAGCTGCAAAGGGATATTTCCAGTATATTGAAGTGCTTAAATATGAAGAACATCTCAAAAAGGCTTTAAAAGCTCTTCAAGCTAGTGAAGACTTAGAAAGAGAATGTCTGGCAGTACGGAAACACAAATATTTAGATGATGAAGGCCCCATTTCCCCTATCCAGGAGACAAAGTAAGTTAATCTTTATTATTTTATAATATTTTTGTTCTTGTCTAGAATACAAGTTTGTATACAGGTAGATGAATGACACCTCACCCCCTGAGCTCTTGGTTACCCCTAGCCTGTTTGCTGGAGCAGGGAGGGCATCGGCACTGCTTTAGTTGCAAGCCCAAACCAGCACCATGTAGACAGCTATGAAGAAAGCTAACTCCATCCCAGCGAAACCAGTACAATCTGCTGTGCCTACAATTGAGAAATTCAGGAGGTAGTACAGTTTCTTGTAGTAGCATGCAGTTTTGTGACAGAGTTGTAATTATATCAAGTTCAATTCCTATGCTGTCCTTTTAACCTATATCACCATCGTGTAATCTAAGTGTGAATATCTGTTTATGAAAGCACTGTTTATTTTAGGAACAAAACACTCAACCACTTGGGGTTCTGTGTTTGTAAATGTGACTTGGAACTTCTTGCAGAATGAGATATTTTTAATCTAAAGACCAATCGTTTCAAGTGATTTGTGCTGTCTCACTGAAGTGACATGGTAGAAATGTTAAAAAATATATATATTTTTTTCCTGAAATTAGTTCCTTTATAGTTATCTCAAATGAAGTGGTGTGTTTTATGTCAAAGACTAAAGGACACTTTTAAATTTCATTTTTACTTTATTAAGCATTGAAATATCATCTTAAGTCTTTCTTTATGGTCAGTTAATTTAAATGCAATAAAAGGATCAGTAAATCAGCAGGAGTGCTTGCTGTTGTAAGTACACTCAGCACCTTAAAACTAGAAAGCAGAAAAAACAATTTAAAGGTACAAAGCTGTCTTTCAGCTATTGTTCACTTTAGTAGTCACTTACACTGCTGATTTATGCAAGTTGAAGTACTAGGGTGAGCCTGTAAAATGGGGAACAATAATTAGTTTGCTGTCTTGCAAAAAAGCAGAAGAAACAAAATTGTGTAGAATAAAGGCAAGGCAGCTCATCCAGACATCAATTCTTTATATGAAATGAGTACTGGAAGACTTGAAGTTTTGGAACCAATCCTCCTGCTGCCACTTGTTGAAACCATAGTACCAAAATGACTTCATCTCTTTCTGGGGAGTTCTGTCTTGAGTGAAAAACCAGTGCACAATAGTGGGATTGGATTTCATACTTGTGTTTCATGGCAGTATGGAGATGATGTTTCTTAGTTATAGTATCAGGAAGACAGGTGTGTACTCTTATCAGCTGAGGCTTTTATCTTCTTATTTTAGTTGTATTCTTAGGATTACACTAATACTCTTAATACTACTGTTGATGTCGTCTACTAGGTCTTTGTTCTGCTGCTAAGCACTGCTTTGGTCATGCTGATGTTGTTACGATGTAATTCTGTCCGAAGCCATCATTTGAGAGCAGCCTCATGTAGTAGTAGTGGTGGTATCTTAACACCTGCAAGCTGTAACACTTCGTACACATTAAGAGACACCAGGGATTGTGGTAGGAAAATAGTTTACATGGTTTAGGCTACTATAAAGGTAGTAGTAGAGAGCTTGATTTGAATTTTTATATTTCAGTGATGATGACAGCTTGAATTCTGAAAATCAAGAAGAGCTTGATGCCAGGATAGTGGTGAGTAAATATTCCTTAACTTCAGAAACTCTCTTAACCTTCTTTTTCTTCTGAGGTTAAAGAATTAGTAGATAATGTTTTGAGTACTTAATTCTTGAGCTTAGATCCATAGTTAACTGTGTGATACCTGTGAATCTTGATCTGTAATGCAGAAGGAAGTTTTTTTGAGAGTCTGCGCTCTCCTCTTTGAAATAATGCTGGAATGTGTGGGAATTCAGGAGTCTTAAAGTTTACAAAGTTACTACCAAAAACCTTACCTTCTAAGTATCTCAAACTAGGATCGTGAATATTTGTCTTCCATTTTCTTAGGAGAACAGCTCTTTCATTATAAGCAGCAAAATTCCCAGTAAGAAAAAGTCAAAGCTAGAAACGAAACATGCAAAATCGACTGAAGTGATTGAAGTAGAGGAGGAAGACTATGCTGCTGAGAACTCTGGGCTTCTGCAAGGTTCACCTTAGTGAACAGAAAACTAACAAATGAGGTGGCAGTGGTCGCTCTTCAGATACCTTTTTTGTGGCCTACTTGGTTTAAAACACTGATCTGAAGTCGATGTTGAGCTATCAACCTAGTCACATTTGGTTTGAGGTGAGTATATTGGGTTCGTGTCTGAGATGGTTACAAAACAAGTATTGTGTCTTTCTACTAACCTTTTAAGTGTCTTTTGTGCTGTCCTGTTCCAAGTGGTTAATCCACTTGAACAAAAGTCTATTGCAAAGTCTGGTTAATGCATTCCAATGATGATAAAATCAATTTGCATGATGGAGGTTGTCTATTCTGTGTGGAATACTTCTCAGAAAACTAATTCCCTGATCCTCAATCTAGTACACTAAACTGAAGTTACAAGTTATCAAGAACAGCTGTAGCAGCATAGCAGATCTTAGACTTAAATATTCTTTTTCTCTGTTGCCTTCCTCTATCCAGAATGGAGTCTGATGTGAACTTGACTAAGCAGATGAAAGCTCTTTATAATTACAGTACTTAACAAGTGTTGTCCCAATTGCAGATGCCTTTCTCAAAAGTATTTTATACAGTTGGAAACATGACTACTGAATGTTTAGAAATGGTCTGAATGTGGCTAACTTCTGGATGACAAGGCTGTCTTAGTAGCAGTAGAAATAAGAAAATTGTTCGAAAAGTATACCTGTGAATCAGTAAGATGTAAATAACCAAAGGGTGATCTGCCTCATTCAAATACTCTAAATAACCAAATCTGTCAGCAACAAACTAACAGCTGTTCAGCAGGTAAAAGTAGTCTATACTGAACAGGGATGTTGTCAGAAAAAGGCTTAAGATCTACTGGTTTAATTTCCTTCAAAACATAATTGACAATCTGAGACTTAGGACAGGTCTATGTTTAATAAGAGCCAGTCGAGTCACATTCCTTATGCTTGAATTAAGGTCTCAAATCTTTGTAAATTAAGTTTGGGGTTTCCCAGTTGCAACTTGGTAGCTCTAGGGTGTAAGACTGCAAAAATTACTCCTCATTAGTTGAAAATCACATTTAATGTCGGTCCATAATTAATGGCTAAATGTAACTCTTTGAGGCATCTACCTGAGAAATGCTCGATGGCTTGAAAGACCCATCCTGGACGAGCAGGGTCCTTGTTTGGTGAGGCACAGCCAGGTGGTGTCTGGAGCCTCCCTCATTCTGCAGTTCATGTGATGAATTTTTCTGTTCAACTGCTGAGTGACTCAGAAATGAACTAAATTTCAATTCTGATTAGAACTGGATAAGTACACATGAAAATCAAGCTTGTTAGAACTTTTAAACTGATTGCTGAAACCTAGCTTTTGTCTTTAGGAATCTTCAGTTATTTGACCCTATCTGACAGTTCTTATCACCTTACTTTTTTTTCTTCTAGTTTACGTTCCTTCTGGAAGATGAAATGCTGCTCGGTTTTCTGAATGTGCAAGGTAGGCTGTTACTTGGCTTGCAGTTTCTATTTTCTTCAGGTAGCTTTTTTGCTTTGCTTCACAAATTGCTTTGGAAAAACAGTATTCCATGGTTGAAGTATGAATACATTACAATGTTTCAATTAGTGTTTCATAGCCCTGCAACTTCTGTGTGAAGCTTCCAAGGTTTTGGGTCTGACCAAAATCGGAGTCTGTAGCTGCTTCTTGAATGAAAACTCAGTTTGGGTTCTTGAATATTTGTGTAATAAATGCAGTTTTTGTTATAAGTTACCTATAGAAATACTTCGGTTTCACCTGATGTTGAATGCTGCAGGAAAGCTTAATCTACCTGATTTGGTACAGTCACTACCTGGGATCTTCTGTGCTTCTGATGGCATCTCTGTGGTAAAATTTCATCTTAAGGCGTGTCCTGTGCAAGAACAGGGAGGACAGTAGAAAGCTGGTAGTCTTGCATGTATGTATTGCTAAAGCTGGGAAACTTCTTACTGTAGGGTGTTACCAAGTTTCTGTGGCTTCAGGAGAGTCTTGGGGGATAGCATGGAAGAAAACACCATTTAAGATTACTGGACAGGAAAACATCTTTAACATGGGAAGCCTTGAGCTAAAGCTGGGCAAGGAATGAAACCTTACAAGAACATAAGTAAGAGTATAGGAACGGGACATCTTATTTGGCCATTGCTGTAGAAGGGTACTGGACTAGATGCCATATCAATTCGACACAGCATGGATTGTTCTTATGACAGCATGCCTGGTACTGAACTTCTTGGCACAGTTACCTTAGTCCAAGCTATATCTGCCTCTAAAAATAGAAAACACAGTAGTAGAAAGTGACAGTTATTAGTGGTAAGTATATAGTAAGCTAAGAAATAGCTTCAGATGCTGTTTCAAAAGCAGTGGAAAAATGAAAACTGAATGCATTCAATCTGTTCAGCACGTGTTCAGTTTTTGTCTGTTGCTTGGACAAAAACCTGGAACCTAGTGCTTAGAAAAAACCCTTCTTTTGCAACCCACAGCTGATGAACATATTAGTTGTGTTACTTATATGAAGGGACAATATCTGCATGTATTCCAACAACAGTTCACTCAAATGCTGAGGAATCTAGTGCATGAGTTCCATGTGCAAGATTTGCAAAAGCGTAGTTCAGTTACATTGTTTTCTTTCCAGACTTTGCAGATGAACACATCAGATCTGCGGCAGTGAGCAGATAAAAACTGGTTTGGACAGTTTGAATTCTTACGGCTGGTGGCTGGCCTTCTGATGTGCAAATCTGTTACCTGGTGGATGACTGTGGAACAAATTAGTGAAAGAGGTAAGTAAGCTTTGTTTCTTCTGCACTTCAGCATGAGAGTGATGATGTATTTCACTTGTGGAAATATTTTCTTCACTTCCTGTGGAAATAGTACTGCTTTAACCAGGCTTAACTTGTGCACTGGATGGTATCTGCACCCAGCAGAATCTTCCTGCTGGGGTGTTCAAAAAGCAGTGCTACAGTATTTCAGCAGCTGGCATCGTTGGTTTTCGTGCAGATGTGCTGGTTAAACTTGGTATTTCTGTTGAAACAAATAGATCGAAAGTTTCTTATTGGGAAGCTTGTCAAATACAACACTGAAGAACTGCTGAACTGTTTATGTGGTAGAAGTATAGTTAAATCAATGACCGTGTTCCAAAAATGTTTCTTAAAGGGGTCTTCCTGTGATGTCTGGAACACAGTGGAAAGCCTCTACTTAAGGGTAAGTATTGAGGAAATTGTTTTTTTTTCCTAGGCAGAGGTAGTTGGATGAGGATCATAATAGCTCAAGTCTTAGCTTTTTGGCTGCCTTTTTACAAAGAAACAGTATTTTATTTTTAAATGTAAATCCAAGTGCCAGAAGGCAGCTAGTGACAAGGGTGTTTTAAACTTAACTGGCCAGGCTTGGAAACTGGGAGGTATTCTGTGGACATAGTGAAGAGCTGATTGTTACGCCTCGTTATTCAGCAAATAGACACAACCCACCATGTGTCCGAATTGGAAAACGTGGCTAGAGAACTTACAGGTTGTGCTTTCCTCGCTGCAGAGTTAATTGCAGTGGTGACAATGAGACCTGTAACAGGTTTACTTCGTGGGACAGTTAGCAAGCATGGTTCAAAACGCAGCTCTGCAAAATCCCAAGGATTGGCTTGTTTCGATGGGTTTGAATTCTGCATCCTGCCCACTAAAGGAAGTAGAATTGGCAGAAAGAAGAGTTACTTGCAGTGCTGCGTTCTTGTTGATGGTTTATTAGAGCATATTTGCAAGCTGTCTTAAAATGGTATGTCATGTGTGTTTACATCACAGTACCAGCTGACTGTTAGGTGGACCTTCTGTGCCATAGTGCTCCAGTTTCTTAAATCACAGGCAGGTGTTTGTTGGTGGTTGTGTGATGGACTGGGCCATGGCTCTGATTTCAAAAGAAATGCTTTGTTTTGGCACTGGCATTCAGACAGCATGAGTGGACTACAGTCTGCCTGCTTCATACTGAGTAGAAGTACCTAATTACTAAAATACTGAAGAAGCTATTACTGGAGCTATTACTCAGATGCAACAATTTACTTCTTTTTAGGAAGTTCACATGATAGTCCTGTCTGAACTCACGTCTTGGGAAGTCAGTGTGACGGATTGTTTTTTAACCCTTGCCTGTTGCAGGTAAGCTGTCTATAATGTGGTGAGCTGGGTATATGGCTGTTTTTTCTTACTGAGAAGATGCAGTGTTGCCTTAGAAAACATAAGAGCTTCTCTTCCCCCAAACTTGAGAATGCTGTGACAAAATTGTCGTGATGATTGGCAAAATGTTCAACTGCTCTGAAGAGAGTGAGTGAGAATAGCCTTTCTGAACAAATCTACTACATGAGTGTCCTTTTCATGTCACTTTTTTCTGGGCATCTGGGTATTTAACATGCAGTGTCTTGTGTCGGTGAGCAGAGATCATGACTGTGTGACTTGCTTTTAAAAATAAACAGGAAATTAAGAACAACTGTCAAATTAAATAGGATAATATTCAGATGTTACAGTAGCTTTAAGTGTGATTCCAAATGGAGGCTATCAGGAATACCTGTGGTGGTTTGAACCATTAAGTACTAAGTTCTGCTTGTTTGTGTGCACACATGTCAGTCTGTAACCTTATTGTGCTTTTTCAGGTGGTAAGTAATTAGAGAAAACGAGAGAAGAAAAGCAGGATGCCATTTCACAGAAATCTGAAGCCCCTCTAGGGTTAGTATGACTTCTGAGATTCTGTGTATTCCTTAGTGAGTGAAGGGCTCTAGTTTTCACTGGCTGGAAGTCTGTATCAAATGAAGCTTACTGACTTGTGGAGGGTTTCAGGGCCTTGATTCAAAGCTATGTTACTGTATTTTAATGTAGCATTCATTCTGTTAAGTGAAGAATTTATTTTAACTTGGATTTCTCCAAAGAATGCTCATACAAATTTCTTAGACAACAAGGAGGTGATCAGCTTACTACTTGAATTTAAAGTTTTGCTTCTACAAGGAAGTTAAGCTTAGCTGGACAGTTACAGGCAGGATTCTGTT